CCTTTGTACTATTATAGGAACTTTTAAGGTTATTTTTTTTACCATTACTGTTACTGGTACTACTTTCTTTTTACAGTGGCAAATAAATTCCAATGAAGAAGAAGCTTTGGAGTAGCGTCGGCAGTTAATTTGTTGAAATTAGTGTTTGTATATATAAAAGTTGTATATTTAGTTCTTGCGTTTTAAATTTTGATAATTCTTATTTTATATTATCAGAATTGACGACAAAACACTAAAAATTTAATCAAAAAATATAAATTAAAGCAACATTTTTCATAATATAAGGACTAATAAAAGAATTTTACCCACCTTAAATTGTAAATTTGATTATGTTGATGTATTATGTAAACGCATGCATGCGTGCCACGTGGTTACGCGATTCATGGATTGTGATTTTTGATTTTACGTGAGCGGAGAACTAACTCGGAATCGCATTGATTGAGTATTATTTTAAGATAAGGATGGAAAATTAGGGCTTTTGAGCAAAGATCATTAATAATTTTGGAAAAACAACAAAGCATGACATGACATCAATAACAACTTTTTAAATTAACTAAATATATAATTTTTAAATCTCCAATTATTTGCATATTGCAATCATCTTATAAATTTGACAAAATACAGAATTAATAGTCTAACATTTTAAAGATTTATAAAAGTTCGACATTTTAAGATAGGGTAAATTATGCGGATAATATCTTATGTTTTCGGCCTGATCGATTTTGGTCATCAATTTAAAATTTAATGAGGAACGATCCATAACGTTATTGATCCGTTGATTTTAGTCCTCCATCTATGTTAGGGACGTAAACAAAAGGGGTTAACGAAAATGAATGACTGAGAGACTAAAATCGAACGGATCGATAATATTAGAGATAATTTTTTCTTAATTTTTAAATTGGTGACCAAATCAATACCCTAAACATATGGGACTATTCACATAGTTTTTGAAATATTAAATCTTTGTTTTCTTGATAAAACAAAGATTTAATATTTCAAATTAATTAATTAAAGATCAAATAATCCAGTTTAGCGTAGCTCAGCATTCCAGCTTAAACAAAGATATTTTACATCCTGAATCTGCGTGATTAACATTGGTATATTATGTAATAATTTGTTTTTTCTATTTGAATTTATTCTAAATATTGATATCTTAAATAATAATAATAACAATAATAAAATTTCTGACATGCCATCCGTGATCAATAAAACCTGTTTGATTTGGGTAATGGCGAGTGGGATCTACGTCATTTGCATAGAGAGTGATGAAGAAAAAAAGAAAGAAGGAAGCAGATCACATGTGGCGGGTGGGACCCGCTAAGAAAATTTGAAATGGTCGTCAAGTCAACTTTTGCGAGAGGCAGTCGGACAGGCAAATGTTCGATTAAAGGATTTTTGTTGCCAAGTTTTTCTAATACAAGAATTAAATAAAAAACATATATTATTTTAGGGTAAAATACACAAATGATCCTTGACTATGGGTATTACTTTATTAAGTCTATTAAAAATTATAAAATGATCATTCAATTATACATTGTTATTTTATTGAGTTTATTGACTATTAAAAGTTATAAAATGGTCACCCGATTATTTATATTGTTCCAAACTCGTCGTTTTTCATTAAAAATTTGATGATATTCTGAGCTAAACGTTAATATGCTGATCGTAATATGATTAAATCTAATCACAGAATCTCACACGTCTATCATATCTCAATCATCATATTAACATACAATTTAGACAATTGTTGAGTTTTTAACAAAAAGGAACAAGTTTGGAATATAATGATTAGTCGGTAACTTTTAATAGTCGAGAGACTTAATAAAACAATATTCTATAATCGAATGATCATTTTATAGCTTTTAAAAATTGATGGACTTAATAAAACTATACTCTATACTCGAGAGATCATTTGTGTACTTTACCATGTATTTTAAATATCAATTATATGTGCTAAAATTTAATGGTATAATGCCAAAAATAGCCCCAAACATTTATTAAAATGATCATTTTGACTCTTATTCTTTTTGTATAGCATTTTAACCCCTCAACGTTTCTTTAGATAAAAATCTTAACCCACGATTAACATTTCAAAATATGAATATTTTTAACCTAAAATGAAATATTGAGGGTTAAAATGTCTCAGAAAAAAAGAATAAGGAACAAGTGATTATTATATTAAATGTTAGAGATATTTTAATCATAAAATAAAATATTTAAAAAATAGAATGAAAGCAAAATAACAATTTTAATAGACGTTGAGACCAATTTTAGTATGCTAAGTTTAATTTGAACAAATAATGTTCTGTGAAGGTCTTGTGGGTCTCAACTCCCGAAATCCATTGGGACCGGTTCCGTCAATGTCGGCAGGCGTTTGATTCATCCATTGTTTCTCCCGTTTGAACGACACGTACCGGATTGTGCTTTCTTTTCTTTTATTTTCTCCCAACCATATTCGATCACGTCTTTTCTCCTTTAGCATCTTGCTCGATCAAATCTTTTATCATTTAATCTTCAAATATGTGGACGAGGGTTGATACATATAATTAAGATTCGAAATTTAAATTTATAAAGTTAAATTCGAATTCTAATCTGTAAATTCTAATATAAATCATAATTGAATCTTAGATATATCTCAACTCTGAACCGAAAAATCACCCGTAAACTAAATTTTTATGTAAAAGAAAAATCTCCGAATATATTTGTCCATATACTTCTAATTTCATTGGGTAATATAGATTCATGGTTTTGTTGATGGTGACCCATCTTCCCACTCATTCAATATGCAAGTTTTAGTGTAAAGGAGGGGCACCATGGGAATGCTAACCATATTTGCTTTACTTTTGTGAGTTTCTGCCTATCAGCTCATTTCGTCTTCTTTCCCATTTAATAATGAATGTCAATAATGAGTAGACTGGGGTCTGTTAGGGGTTAGGTGAGACAGTCCTACTTGATCATTAATAATGCGGTTTATTTATTTTAGGCAAATAAAAAAATGAAAATAATTAGGATATGGAAAAAGTATTTTAAAACATATTATTGTAATCAAGTTCATATACTCATAAAATCTCACATTAACAATGGGGTTTATTTAGGCAAATAAAAAAAAAGAAAATAATTTCAGTGACCAAAAATCCATATAATATACGATTTTGATAATTTTTTTAGATTTGCGAAAATGACCAACAAAATCGCAATGCGATCTCTAATTCGCATTGCGATTTCCACTATCAAATTCGCGTTGCATTTCGCGTTGCGATAATTGAAAATCGCGTTACGATAGTTGAAAATCGCATTGCGATTTTCCATTTCGTGGTCGTGGTAATACGTGTCTTCGACACGTCCGCGCGGATACTATCTTTTTAGATAAAATTCTTAAGAAATAAAATCTTTTTTAACTATCGCAACGAATTTGGAAAATCGCAACGACATTGTAGAAAATCGCAACGCGAAATGGAAAATCGCAACACGATTTTCAACTATCGCAACGCGAAATAGAAAATCGCAACACGATTTTCAACTATCACAACGCGAAATGCAACGCGAATTTGCGATAGTGGAATCGCAATGCGAATTAAAGATCACATTGCGATTTTGTTGGTCATTTTCGTAAATCCAAAAAAATTGATCAAAATCGTATATTATCTGGGATTTTAGTCACTGAGATTATTTTCTCATAAAAAAACCATCGTAAGGGTTCATTTACCACTAGTACTATTAAAAGTAAAGGACATAAATGGTCCTTTAGAAGTTCCTTGATAGATATTATTTTGTTAAACTATTATTAAAAATTATAAAATGATCATGATTTATTATATCTTGAACTCGTCATTTTAGTTAAAAAATTGATGATTGTCTAAATTAGTATTCAACACGATGATTAAGACATAATAATCGTTCGAGACTCTTAGATCAAATTTTATCATGTTACAATCAACAAGTTAATGTTCAACTCAAAATACCATTGGTTTTTAACATAAAAGGACAAGTTAATGTTCACTCATTATTGATCTTTTCCGTTAAAAGATAATTGTTTTGTAACTTCTAATAGTCGAGAGACTCAACAAAACAACACTGCATAATCAAAAAATCATTTTGTAACTTCTGATAGTCGAGAAACTTAATAAAATAGTAACTACATCAGAAACCATTTGTATACTTTACCTTGTTCTCAATACATTCGACACTCATAGAACCTCTTATTGATGCCTATTTCCCTCCTTAATTGATTGGGGATAAGGCCGACGCACATGTTATACAACATGTAACCCGAATGCTTATTTCTAAACAAAAATAGAAAAATTAGAAAGTCATTGGCAACTTTGACTGACTTTAGCTAATTTCTAAATAATTCTCAAACCCCCATTCCCTTTTTTCTGCAATATTTGCATAAATAAGCCTAATAATGTTGGATACATCTCATTATCATCTTCCATAAATCCTGAATAACAGTTACTGTAATTTTTACGCCTTCCATGCTTTCATACTCCAACTATTCAACCGTGTTCATCAATGCACATACTTTTTTACCAACAAAATTCAGAGCTCTGAATATCCATTCAAGTAATGAATAAAACAAAACCACAGATAAAATCTTTCCATAAGAGAATTCGTCTAATTTTCGAATGCCTCGAAGCAATTACATCTGTGAAATAAGCATACATAGGATCAATAATGAGTGAGGCAGGCAAAATTCAATCAAGTTCCCGATTAATAAATTCAATGAAGTCGTATTCTCATCCTGAAAATTACCTCTCTTAGCAGCCTGCCTGGAGCAATAGTTTACCCGAGTTGTTCGATTGCTTTGGCGCTGTTGACATAGTCGCGCTTTTATCGAAACCCTCGAGTAAGAGGATCCTGACTGCCTCTATTCCCTGTTGAAATGTAAACTCCAACTGAAAGACAAAAGGATGTAAACACAAAACAGTCGGTATTTATTTACTTTTTCTTCTCTATGGTAGTGTTTTTTAATAAACTTTTACATATCTCCTCCCGTTCTTGCTTATCGAAAGGAAGAAGAACGTAATTAATAGTATCCATCATCCCCTGAGGCCGTCCGATGCCTAGAAAAGTTACTGAACTTTAATAACCTGGAAATACACAAATTAGCAGGCATTAAGGTTTCGTTTTAGTGTTCTTAGCAACCTACCGATTCTTAGACGAGTGAAATTGCGACTGCCTTTTAAACTATCTATGATGCTTCGCATCCTGGAAGAATAGGGAAAAAAGAAGTTAAAATCTTGCATCTGCGTCTTTGGTTTAAGACATGACATAACTAATGCTGACAAGTGACAAGATCATACCCATTATATCCTCTATGTCCGCCTTTCGGAAGTAGTCTCAGTTTGGCAAAAGGCAAATCTAAGTCATCAAAAATCTGTCAAAGGGAACTGTAAGTGTGAAGGAGGGAAAGATTAGCATAGAGTTGTACCAGAGAAAGAAAATTACCACAAGTACTTGCTTCAATGGAATCTTGTAATATGAGACAAGGGCCCCGACCTTCACAATGTATTTGCAAAACCATGAAAATGGCTATCAGAACTATAGTAATTTCAGTCTGGTAAGAATTTTAGTCTCTTGAAAACGATATATAGATCCTTTTAGATAGCTCACTTACAGACTAACCACTTGCATTCATTAAAGTTTGTGGTTTGGCAAGCATGACTGGAACATTTCCTATAAATCCTGGAAAAAAGAGCAACCATCTCCAATTAAAGTATTGCATGATGGGACATGTTGAGTTACCTAATACAAAAATTAGAACATGAATTCATTTGTAATTTACCTACTCAATTTTCCATCTATCAAGTGTGAAATTATTAACTTTATTCATATATTGATAGAATCTTTAGACGATATTAGCCCTTCTAGTGAGTACCCTAAATGCACTCTTGAGGTCACCGTAAAATAATATCTTCATCCAAATTCCAAAGCATTTAAAAACAATAACAAAGCTGTAAATTATTGCAGTTAATATAAAATTTTAAATTATGAATACTAGCTCAAATCACATACACGCTGCAAACAAACTCCAAGATATTGCAGGTTCGAGAGGACCTTTGGGTCGTAGACCGTAGTAGCCACCTTAGGTTAGTTAATTAGACAGGGAGGCTATGGGTAGATTAAGAAATTCGAAGTGTATAAAATTAGTTTAATTAGTACCTTAACTTAAAAAAGCATCTTAGAACAATCTTCACCAAAACCATAAAACAATCGGTCAAAAGTTTCAGTTGCAAAACAACAGGCAACTATAGTTTCAGTTACTAGACCAGTGCATTAAGCGATTTAAGATTATATATAAGTATCCATTAGGAAGTATACTCTTCAATAGACCTACATACTCGTCTTCAGAGTTAGAAGAACAATGTTATGATCAAATAGGATCAACATCAACTCAATCTTAAAGCAAAATACTAGCCCAGAATTAGAACTTTGGAATCCTATCATGTCTAAAAGTAATATCTTTTCTAATGAATAACAAGGAACTCATTCCAGCAGAGATCATGCAAGACTTCAATGCATATTAAAGTTCACGAATTTAACATTAGTAAAAGTGATTCAAAGATTGAACACAGCTAAATTCAATGTTGAAATAGAAAGAATACCATCTCCAATCAGGGCTTTAAAGTTAGCTGTGTTAATAGAAATTCCTTCAGCCTCGGCTATAACGTGTTACGAGAAATCAAAAATAAACAGTGAACAAAAATCGTTAAAAATTAAATTCAAAATAACAGAAAAATCAAAATGAGGACACATCGATACATTGTGGCGAGTGCCATTGAATTTCTTGCCGGGATTACCGAAACCGACAATGAGCCAAGGTTTGTGAGGCGGAGACTGCGACTTGTTCTCCGGCAGCGACAACGGGAGTCCTCCGCCGTATGGGAAGGAGAAGAAATTGAATCTTTGATAGAAAAATTAGGGAACCGAGTCATTGTTCTTCTGGTTGTGGCGGAAAATTTGAAGGGACAATAGGATTAATTGAATGGGGAATTGAAATTTAGGAATCGAAAGATGGGTATTGATGAGCTTAATATCATCATCATCATCATATATATATTATTATTAATAATATTTAAGGTTTGAACGTTTGAAAGATGGTAGGAAGAAGGAAGCTCGGAAGAACCCTTCAAGTCACCCCTTTGCCTTGAGGCTCAAGAGTCAAGATATTCAAAGGTTAACCTTACGAATATGTTTGCAAAACATTAACGGATAATAATAAAAAATAGTCTAATTCTATACGAAGTACCTCTATTGTGCGTGTGTGTTTTATAATCATGTAATTGATTCCTAGAATTAAATGTTATATAAACTCATTACGAGAATGATTATCTCAATCTAATTTATTCCACTTATGATATTAATATTTAAATTTATAATTTGATTGCACGAACCAAGCGACTTTGATAATAAATGAATTGTTGTTATTCCTTGAAGTGTTATCGTTAAACAAATATTATCTTATACTTATCTTTTATATATATATATATATATATGTGTGTGTGTGTGTGTGTGTGTATATATGAGATAAGTATCTAAACTATTAGTTTTAGTCAAATTTAGTATCTAATTTTTTTTCCAAAATCATACCTAACATTTGATTTTTGTTTAATTTTAGTATCTTGTTATTAAAAACTATACAGACTCGTTGACTACGCATAGCTACAGTGAACGGTCGACCAATCTAAACGATGTACTACGAGAGAATGATGAGTCGACCAATATAGTCTAATTTTAGACCCATTAGATGGTTGAACAGAGATAAGAGGTGAAGAAATCGGAAATTTCATCATCGATTTAGGGAGATTTAATCGTTTTTTTGGTAAAAAGAGGTCGAAATTGCGTTCAGGGGTCTAAAAGGTGCAGACTGAAAAGTTTGGACTTAATCGGTCGACGAATGCAACAACCGACGATTATAGATGTGACGGTCGACGAGCTCGTCCGGTTAAGTTTTTAACGACGAGATACTAAAATAAAACAAAAAATAAAATATCCAAAAATGATAGTTTAGGTACTAAATACGTAGTTTACCAAAAAATATATTATAGGGACCTTTTGTAAATTTAACCATAAAAGACTTCTAAGAAACGGAAGTAATAGAGTATAAGTGTCTTTTAAACAATTTAACCTTAGAAAAGGGAAAACCCGCCGTGAAAAAAACCTTGAAAAAAGGGCAACAATTGTTATTCAACTGAAAGTTAGGAGCGAGGCAGATCATGTGAAAAAAATGGGTATGAACTCAGTAAAATGGGGGTACGTCCGTATCATCACCGGCACCATTTTTGGTGGTATCCTTGGCTTCTACGTTATGCACCGCGTCGAGCTCAGCTACAAGGTCCCTTTTCGTTATTTCTCTGCTTCTTAATTTGTTTTACAAAGATTGTAGACTTTTGATTTTTACTTTTCTTAATTTTTATTTCAACACGAGAAGATGAAGGAGATATTGAGGCAATATGAACTTGAATTGAAGAATAGGGAGAAGCTAGAGGAGCTTGAAGATTCCCTCTAGCTCTTTCTTTTTACAGTTAAGCCTGCACACTGCTTCTTTCTATTTGAAAAATTGAAATCATGATGGTTGTGGATGATTAGTGATTGCGAGTGTTGAATTTAAAAGAGAAAAACACTCAATTAGTAGAAAAAGTTTGCTCCATTCCTACTTTTTTAAGGTTTCTTTTATATTTTTCAATGAATTTATCAGAAATATTTCTGGGATCTCTTTTCGAATTTCAAGTTATCGCTATTCTATCATGAATTTAGTATAACAATGTCCGTGATGCTAGCTTCTGGCTGGTTGTACTGAGCTTAATATATTAGGGATTAAAGGTTTATACTAAACACTGGTGTAGTGGGTTTTTTATCAGCTGCAAGATCAAAATGTAGAAATAGATTACATTCGTGGAGGAGAAATCTCTTATTCTTTGCAATAAGGAAATAGGGGTTTAAGAAGAATTTTCTGTAATCGAGAAGATCGAATTTTGGGATGCTGTAAAGATTTGATTCATTTTCTTTTTAGCCTGCCAACGGTGCGCAAAAGGCGAGTGTTAACATCATTCTACTTGAACAAAACAGAAGAGGGACATAAGAAAAGGATAAACGAAAACTGCATTTATGTCTTAGGTGAACATAGGACAATGGACATTTTCGTTTTTGATACAAATTTGAAGTGTTTCATTTCCATAGTGTTATTCATTGAACAAGGAGTAATACATAGAATAGGCTTGATCACTGGATATGAGCTGAAACAAACAAGATTAGATATAACCATACCGCTTATTATGAAGCATAGGTGAAGTAAATGATGCTTTCTTTACCCAATAGCTTCAACATCTTCATTATCTTACTTTTGTCTTTTGGAAATATATTTTTTCCCCAGGCTTTGGTTTGTAGGAAGGATAGAAGGGGTGAGAATGAAAATCTTAGAAATCCAAATGATTAAATTTCATAACAGCTTTCTTACTTTTTAACTAAACCATTATATTAACAAGTTTTCTATCTTTAGCCGTTTTCATTATTCCTTATAGGCAAAATTTTAAAGCTAGGACATTACTTGCTTGGGGGTTTTTGTCTCGTATTCTAAATTGGTTTTCTTGAAGTGGTTGAACAATTGTTTATGTTTTAGAGCAAGTTAAGCTGGCTTGTGCTTCTTCTTGTGGTATTCAATGGGTAAGTGAAGTTGGATTAGACATAACCATACCGCTTATCATGAAGCATAGGTGAAGCAAATAATGCATTCTTAACCCTATAGTTTCGACATCTTCAGCATCTTACTTGTCTTTTGGAAGTATACTCTTTTTCTCAGGCTTTGCTTTGTAGGAAGGATAGAAGGGGTAAGAATGAAAATCTTACTAATCCAATGATTCTTACTTTTTAGCTACACCATTAGATTAACAAGTTTTCTATCTTTAGCCGTTTTCATTCTTCCTACAAGGCAAAATCTTAAAGCTAGGACATTACTTACTTTGGGTTTTTTTTAGCCCGTTTTCTAAATTGGTTTCCATGAAGTGGTTGAACAATCGATTATGTTGTAGAGCAAGTTGAGTTGGGTTGTGCTTCTTCTTGTGGTATTCAATGGGCAAGTGAAGTTGAATTCATTAAATTTCTTGTCAATGCGGCTTTTGTCGTGCTCCAATTGTGGTTCACCAGACAGAGATAATACAACTAGTATACCCTAGCTTTGCTGAAATGAATGTTCTTGTTACATAAAGAATAGCTAGAGCCTTGAGGCTTCCTTGTAATGGAATTTTACTTCTTGTTAATGGGTAATCTTTTAGTGAGTGTTCTAGTTGGTGGATTTTGCACCAAGACATTGCTAATGGCAATGGCAATGCCCTTGTTTTTGTTGTTGTTGTTTTGAATTCAAAATTTGATGTCTCTTTAAATAAGATATTAAATGGTAATTACTAGTTAATCAAGCGGAACTTGATGTTAGGCTATTCAGATTTTGTGGGTGAAAACAAATAATATTAAGAAAAGTTTTATTTTATATTTAAGAGTCGTCTTTGAATATCAATAAGCTCGCGTGACTACTAGATACTACAATGTATATATTGTAGGGTAATTACATATTTAATATCTAAATTATTAATTTTGTCCGATTTAGTATCTAAATTTTAATTTTTTTCAAAATTATACTCGGAGTTTAGTTTTTGTTTTCTTTTAGTACACTTGTTCAAAATATGATGTTAATTTTTGAAAAAAAATTGAAATTTTAGGTGCTAAAATGAATCAAAACTGATAGTTTAGATTTTAAGTATGTTAAATTTTTAACAGTAGGTACTATAATGAAATAAAAATTAAATATTAGATATGATTTTGAACAAAATTAAAAGTTTAGGTGTTAAAACGGTTTAAAATCTATAATTTAGATACTAAATATGTAATTTATCCTATATCTTATTGTGTGTTAACCCATGCTACCCGAATATCAATGTCATAAAAATCGGATTGATGGTCGAGCCGATTAGACCACTGGTTTTTTTATTCAATTGGTTAAAATATAATTAAATAAAATACGAAAATTATAAATTTGTTTAATTTATTTTTATTCGTTCAACTTTTAACTATTTACAACACGACTCAGTCTATATTTGATTCAGGATAAGTTATACGTTTAGTCCTAAAAACTATTAATTTTGATCTTTTTGATTATTAAAATTATTAATTTTTTTAAAATTATATTTAAAATTATATATTTTTTATTTTAATTATTTATTTAAAAGTTAACTTTAATTTTTAAAAAAATTAAAAAAAATAAGTGCTAAAATAAATTAAAATTAACAATTTAATTACTTAAAATTTAATTTTTATTTTATTTTAATATTATGGTATTTCCCTCCTCTCCTCTGCTCTTACTTCCCGCCCGGAGCCAAAATTTTAATTCCATTTTTTTCTTCACTACAAAACAAAAATTAATAAATATAATAATAACCAATAAAATTATTATTTAATAATAATAAAAGTTAAAAAGTAAATGAACCAAAGAAGAAGAAGAGCAGCTTAGTCATATTTCAATTGGGGTTGAAATATTTTAGCAATGGCTGTTTCTACTCCATCAAAGGAGAAGAAGAACACGAAGAAGAGCAGCAACAAGGAGAAGAAGACGAAGAAGAGTAGTAAGGCCAACGCCCAGATAACTCGGCACACTGACTCAGCTTGCTCGACTGATCCAAAAATCAGTCCAAAGCGTCGCCGTAACAGTTCGCCTGGAGTTCGACTCATCCATAACCGAATCTATGATTCTCATAACGGAAAGACTTGTCACCAGGTATATATATTTTTAGATTGATCGTCTTTTTTTTCATCGTTTTTTTTGTTTTTGGAGGAAAAAAAATAACCGTGTTTGGATTTTGCAGTGTAGACAAAAAACAGTGGATTTTGCAGCATCATGCAAGAGGAAGATTGATCAGAAACAATGTACTATCCATTTCTGTCACAAATGCCTCTTGAACAGGTTTTTATGTCCTTTGTTTCCCGAAAAGATACTTTACCTTTTTCAAAAGATGTTGCCAGACTTGCTGGATCTTACTCTTAATTAGGCAAAATTCTATTGTTTTTTATTCTTCTTAAAACCTTTTGACTATAGCATGATCTAGATCTAATAAGCATATGTTACTTTAGTGACATTGAAATATGATAACCGATTGTTTATTTGTTTGTTTTTCCATCAGATATGGAGAAAAGGCTGAGGAGGTTGCCTTGTTAAATGATTGGAATTGTCCGAAATGTAGAGGAATTTGCAACTGTAGTTTTTGCATGTCCGAAGGCAATGATGCTGATTTCTCGACCCAAAAGGCTACTCCGAAAAAGTCCAGAATCTCCAAAAAGGTATTGTATGAAGGAGAAGTGATTTTGGACAGGAATACGGCTATCCAGCTAATTGAAATGAAGGTCCCTAAGAAGTGTGATCAAGGAGAAGATGAAATGCTAAACAATGCAGCTCCCATAGAGAAGAACAAGACAATTAATAAGTTTCCAAGTCCTAAGAAGAAAAGTGTAGAAGTCAAAAGTGAAGCCTCTGATGACGATATCATACTGCCTCAAGGAACATTACTAAACTGTGTCGGTGGCATTGGCTTGCCTGCTGAGGATGTTGGCCACGCCTTGCAATTTCTAGAATTTTGTGAAGCTTTTGGAGAGGTAAACTTGTTATCTGTTTGTTTAGCATGAATCCTAATAGGTTAAAATTTTCGCTCTTTTTAGTTCTGTATTCTCACTTAGTAGTTTTGTTCGATTTTAGGTTCTCAATATGAAGAAAGGGCAGTCTCAGCTGATACTTAGAGAGTTATTTACTGGAAAAAGCAAATGCAAACACAAACTACGTTATCCTTCGATTGTTCAGTTTCATATTCGACTGCTTTCCATGATGCAAAAGGATTTGGGAAAAGAGTATTCATGTTTAAATAGATAGTCATAAACATTCAGTTCCTTCTTTTAATTGGTGTATTGATCATCTGAATTAAATCTCTGTGCAGGTATCCTTGCCTTAGTCGGGATTTAAGTGAAACTTCATGGGCTCAAGTTCTTGGAGAATACATCAGTGATTCTCAAAAACCATTAAATCAGTCACCGTCGGATTGCTTAGATATGAGTGATGATAGATATGAGAAATTAAATTCCTCTAAAAAACTCAGACTCTTAAATTTTCTATGCGATGAAGCTCTTGTCACCACGTGAGCCATAAAGTTCTTCAATAAATTCTGGTCATGTTCGCCTTTTTAGGTTCCTAAGTAAAATGTATTGATAAAAATTTCGTACTTCCCTTCAGAGAATTCAGAAGCTGGATTGATGAACAAAACTCGAAATTTGTCGAGAAAGAAAAGAAAATGAAAGAAAAACTTCTTTCTCGGAGAGAGAGGGTAATGAAGTTGATATGACAACTTAGCTCAAGCAAATGCCAGTGTTAATGTTAAAGTCATGCCTTCGCTTGTCTGATCATAATTCTTTGCATAGGAGAGAAACATGGAAAAAGCGATGAAGCAGAAGTTGCAGGATGAGATAGCCAAAGCTATTATCATGAAAAATGGTGCACCTCTTTCAATTTCGGAGAATGAAGAGCTTATTTCTAGAATCAAGAAAGAAGTGGCTCAAACTCTTGAAGTGGCCTATACTCTTGCAGGTACATTGGAAGTGTCCGAGACAGTGGATGAGGGTATGTTCTATTACATTGTCCTTAATAGTTGCACAAATGGATTCATCTTTGCATATTTTGGCCGACATGTTTTACCTTGCCAGTGATGCCCAAAGAGGAGGAGGATTGTCGATTAGATGCTGTCAGATCGGAGCCAATATTTTGGGATGGCCATGGTCACAAGTATCTCAAATTCTGGAGATTGAGGGGCCACTTGGGTGAATCCAATATTCTGCTTCAAGGTTTGTCATACACTTGATTATCCAAAATCCGGATTTCATCAGCTTGTCAACTGAATCGCCATTTCATTTGTTTCCGCTAATGTGCAGATATCGAGGTCGGGGATTCAGTTGCAGCTAAAGAACGATGGTACAGCTACAGCACCGAACAAAAAGCTACGGTCGAGAAATATATTTCGTCTTTCAGGTATCGAAAGACGACTTTAACCGCCGACCTCTTTTAAAAAATGTCACATAGACTTGATCATGGGAATATGACAAGATCAAATAACTCAGAAATGAGACCTATAATTTCATTAATTTGTCATTTTGTTTTGCAGGGTGCAAAAGAAATGAGCAATCTATATTGGCTCGTATAATTTCAAGAAAGGTACTGTAGTTACTGCATAGTGCTATTTATCTATAATATGTTCCCCCAAATGAACCAACCGTTTGTATCCCGTATATGTTACTAAAAGAAACTAAGTTAATTATCATCTTTCAATGCAAGGGAGGGGATGCTATGGTTTATGGTTTATGGTCTTATACAAGATCATTATGTATTTTACGTAGGGATGGGCATAGGACCCGAATCTAACGGGATTTGACCCTATCGGGTTGGATTATTTTTTTAAAAAAAAATCGGGTTTGAGTCGGGTTTTTTAAGGTTATATTTAGGTTGGATTCGAGTTTAGAGTGAAAAATACCTGATCTAACTCGAAAAAATTGTAATTTTATCTTATATATATAGGGATAATTGCAGTAATACTCTCTATATATATTATTTTCTTTCAATTAAATTTTTACTTTTATTGAATAATATTTTTTATTAAATATATTATTTCGGGTTGGAGTTTAGATTTTATTTTTAAAAAATCAGGTCGGGTGAAATGTGTATTATTTTTCTGGTAGGATGGACTATTTATAATTTTCGTGTTGAGTCGGGTGAACTGAAAATTTGATCCGACCAACCCATCCCTAATTTTACGTACTCGCTTTGTCCCATTAAAGTTTCTCTTTAGAGAAGATGAGTGGTTCAGTTGTTCGGTCGTTGTGGTCTTTTCCATCGCCGACGACAAGCATTAATCTCCAAATATTTTTCAGGCTTTGAAGATAAAGGACATTCTTGGAAGGGGCAAAATACATTTACAAACATGAATAATAAAACTGACGAATTAAACTAAAAAAAATATGGGTATACATGGTTTTAATTTAATTATAAATTTATATTGATTAGGTAGTAAAACAATTCTAGAAAAAATAAATACAACAAAGTAAAATATTTTTGGATGATGTTCAAAGTTATCTTTTAGTCATTGAACTTTTAAAAATTATAAAAAGATTATTAAATTTTTTGAACTATTACAAGATAATCAGCTCGAGTTAGGTTGATTTTTTTTAAGGATAAGATTAAATCGAGTTTGAATTTAGAGCGAAAAATATTTGATATGATTTAGAAATCATAATAAAATCGACCTTTTATATATTCGTGGATAGTTACTTAAATTTCTATTTGTTTATATTTTTTTTCAATTAAGTCTCTATTTTATCAAATGAAAATGAAAGTCTCTATTTTATCGAATGAATATACATATATATGGTTTAGAATCTATTTACACTTAGTGGATGAGGGAAAATCAAAGGCTGAGATTAACTCCTTTTTTTGAGTTAATATCTTCTGGTTTTCTATTGTTAATTTCAGTCTTTGATTTTCTCTCATCCAATGATCTTAAAGGTGTAAATTTTTTTAGTTTTACACTATGTAATTGAATCATAGTCCTATATATATATATAGAGAGAGATTGGTTGTAGAATTTTTCCTTATAAAATGGGTCAATTTTTGAGTCAAATGACAGATAAAATAATTATATTAAAATCATATTTAAATTAATAAAATAAAACTCAACTCGGCCGCAAACAATCTTATCATATGTGTACAAACTCCGAATGGTTTTTAATCATGTATGACTTTTTCTCTAAATAAAATAAGTATAAAATATACAAATAGTCCCCAAGATGCACCATAATTTTGCTAGAGCGAACTAGATGGAAAATTACGAAGCCATGTAGTAATTGCTTTTGTTTAATTTGTGATGAATAGTCAATTTGTATATACATTTGTGCACTTGTGGTATATGCAGAGAATTTTTACGTGGGGATTTATTAGTAGAGATTACTTTCCACTACAGACGCACATATAAAGACTGCATATGAAGACTGTTTAACTATATATATATATATATATATTTTTTATTTATAATTTTATTTTATCTTTATTTTTAATTTTCTGACTGTCAGAGGTCTTCCACGGAAGCTCCTCTCAACCTGGCGTTGGGGCAGCCTACTACCCTATCTCCCCTTATCCCATTTCATATGAGAATAGGATTTTGTTGTTGTTGGTATGTATACGTAGTCACACACATGTATATTGCATTGAATTGACGTGTACAGTTCTGCCCGAATCTGATCCTTTATAATTTATTACATTGAGGTGAAATTTTTAAATAAAAAATATTTTTTTACGTCAGTAGATTTTCTAACACGGTAACATTTATCGTAAATCCTTAAATAATTTACTTAATGATGTATTGGGCTAAATAAATAATTAATCCACTTAAGATATTGAGCCAATTTTGCCCTTCTAATAATTGTTGGGGTTCTAAGTTTGTTAAGGCCCACATTGAATGAACCTAAAATGGCTGGATTACAATTTTACGTTATTCTATTCACTGTATTCGAGTAATTGATCGATCAATTCAAATTAAAAATCGTAAGTCTTTCCTAGCCTTACTTAAAAGTTTAACGTCTCACCTCAATTCTCACTAAATCAATTGATAGTCAATTAATCGAACAATATTTTAGTGTACTTGATTAACAAAGTCATCATTTAAATAGAATTTGATTTTTTATAACTGTCGATATCTAATATATTGGTCGACTAATCCAGATCGGATATTGCAGAGGGTAGGACAACTATGCCAACTCAGTTTACTCCATTCACGATCACCAAAATTCGAACACATGACCTTGCTTAAGGGATCTGATGACTCATTAACGGAATTCGAACCCCTGACCTTGCTTAAGGAATCTAATACCTCATCAATATAATTCGGACCATGAAATTGCTTAAGGGATCTAGCGAGAATACGAATAAACATGAAGCATAACAGTTGACACTGAGATCGATTATCCATGTAGTTCAGACTTAAGAGAGACAAGTTAGGGTTTTTTTTTAACATTAAGAAAAAGAAAATTGAGCTAAAAAACGATTATTCTAAACCTTAATTAATAATTTTAATTGAATCTTAATCCAATGAAAAGTTATAGAAATTTGGGCAAATTATGCATTTAGTATCTAAACTATCAATTTTAGTCTGTTTTAATACCTAAACTTTCAATTTTTTCAAAAAATACCTAACATTTTTGTTTTTCTTTCATTTTGGTACCCACCTTTAAAAACTTAACGTGTTCAATACCTTAACAATCAAATTCGATCCATTTTAGTATCTAAACTTTCATTTTTTTCAAAAGTTAACATTAAATCTTGAACGGGTACTAAAATGAAATAAAAACTGAACTTTAGGTATGGCTTTGAAAGTATTGAAAGTTTAAGTACTAAAACGGACCAAAACTGATAATTTGGGCACTAAACACATAATTTACCCTAGAAATTCATACATCATATGTACATCAAACATAAACCCTAAGTTCATTTCACTCTTTTTTTTCACCTGCGTTTGCCATAACAAGTTAGGACAAAAGCAAAATGAAGATCAATCTAATACCTTAAGCGACAAAGACAGGAACAGAAAAAAAAAATTACAAAAAGTTTGTGAAAGAAAAGGGCAAAAGAAAATCTAAACTTACGGAAGAGAGCATGCAAATGCAGGTTCTACTTATAGATAGCTAGGTAGGCTTTGAAAGAGGAAATTGTAGAACATGAAAGGAATCGACTGTCAATCACCCACCTGTTACCACGTGAAGTGCCACAATGCTACGTGTTTCCTAGCTCTACTCCAGTTTGTGTTTTATGAAACACTTGATGAAGATGGTAATAAAACTCTAATTCTAAATTTCACCCCTATAGTTTCTCAAAGATGATAATTAGTCCCTTTAATTACTCAGATTTTAGTTTGGCATCCAATTTTTTGAAAAGCTGAGATGTAACAGTCTATTTGTTTGTAAACACAAACCAGAATTGCATACTTTCGTTCTTCAACTTCGAGTTTTATAAAATTTTCTTCATTGAATTCAAAAAAACTTAAGATTTTGTCACTTTCGTTTCGTTTTAATTAAGATTTGATCACTTCATTTTGTTTTATTAAGTTTTGGTCACTTACGTTATCGTTAAAGGTTTAACGGTTGTTCACCTTGACTGACCACATCTTAATTAAAACGAAACGAAAAATGAATAAATCTTAATTAAAACGAAATAAAGTGACCAAATTTTATGTATTTTGAATTCAGTGAGGAAAAAATTTATAAAACTCAGAATAATATGACCATTTTTTTTACTTTACCCTGAAAGTTAATGGGATAGGATTCACTTACAACGTATAAAATTAATTAACTTGTACGGAAATATAACTATTAGATGAATCTAAATCAATAGATGAGATTGAATTAAAAGATTCCATTTTTTGTAAGAAATTGAAAAGAGAAAAAAATTATAATACTAATGCACAAAGTTGTAATCTTGTTCATTCATTTATATTCATTCAATGATTATATTTTCGTACCAATAGGGTTGGTTCAATTAATAATCAGTTTGATATCGCTTAAGTAAGATCTCGAGTTCGAATCTTTATGTATGTAGAAAATCTCAGTTATGAGACTCACCCACCAAAACCAAATGTATGAGCGGGTCTATCCGGATTAGTCATGACAATGCCTTGGAGGGCTACCAAAAAAATGATTATATTTTCGTGTAAAACTAATCAATTTTACATTACTCCATTGGATTAAGTCTTAATTTTAGTAAATTGTAAAAGCAGGGGATGAAACTTAGAATTAAACCTAAGAATAAAAGATTAAGAAAAAGACGGTTTTATTATGTGTGGTATCTGTTCCACAAGTGTTATTGAATTCCCTTGGTTTACTCTCTCTCTTACGACAGTGACAGCTCTGTTATTATAGCACAGTGTTTATCATCTCTGCTGTCCTTCCCATGCTGTAGTCGTCCTTGCTTTCTTTTATTGCCTTTTTTAAATGCTAGTTAGTTAAGTTTCAAAGCAAGCAAGCAAAACTGAGTTTTCGCTTGCAGATCATGGAAGCTGTTGATCAACGGAAACACCGTGATTATATTGCTTTTTCTAGAGATAAAAATGGTGCATTATGATTCATGTGTGTCGTTCTCAAGTTTGCTTGCTACCAGTACCACCATATAGCTCCTTAGGGTAGGGTTGCTTGATTGTTTCCCAGAAGAAAAAAAGATCTTGAAAAGATGTTTCCTTCAAGCGGAAATGGCTGCTGCAGTGATCCAATGGCGTATTTCGCTGCAGATCCATCACTTTCCTTCTTCAATTTCCCCTCTCCTTATTACAACCAATGTGAGCTAGAAGCACTGCAAGACTATGATGTTTTTCTCCAACAAGACCGTGATCTGTTGCTTCATAACCAGACCTTGATGGCGGCTTATTCTGTCTCGGCCGACACCGTCACTAACACGCCTGGTTTCGGCCCCGATGGAACGAAAGTAGCGCAGAAGACACCTGGGAAGAGATCGTCGAGTTCCAAGAGAGACCGACACATTAAGATTAACACGGCGAACGGACCGAGAGACCGGAGGATGAGGCTGTCGCTCGACGTTGCTCGGGAGTTCTTCTGTCTGCAGGACATGTTGGGGTACGACAAGGCGAGTAGAACCGTCGAGTGGCTGCTCATACAGGCGAGGCAAGAAATCAAGAGGCTAGCGAGAACCCATGTCGACGGCGTCGTCGTTGCATCCGCCGCAGCAAAGAGCCCTTCCTCCACATCGAAGGGCGAAGTGTTATCGGCGGCGGAACCTAAAGCGACTGAGAAAAAGATCAAACATCAAGCTAAAACCTCTTTCAATCCACTCGCGAGAGATTTGAGGGACAAGGCGAGGGCGAGGGCGAAGGAGAGAACAAAAGCAAAGAAGATGTGGACTCAAACGCCATGGGGTTCCTTTGAGAACACTGCTGAAGAATCTGGTCATCTTCAACAGGTTGAAGAACTCGGTTCTCGAGACATCGAGCACTTGAGGATTAATCATGACAACATGATTGATGAATCTTCGGCAATTATTAATAAATGGAGCCCAAATACGATGCTCAATTGTCTGCAAAACCCTGGAATTAACCAAGAGGTAAGTCTCTTGAGCAAAAGTTTCTTGATTTTACCTAATTACAACAATGACAAAACTACCTTCACATATGATGAACATATATACACACACACACATATTATGTATTTGTTTGTTTGCAGCATCAGTTCACAGGCTTTCTGTCTTTCGGCAAACCATCGGAGACCTACAACAATAGCAATCTATGAAAACGAGGTTCATTAGAGGGCATATGGATAAATTTCAGAGGCATCATGCACTCACTGTTAATTGGTTACTTTCTGTATGATATGTAATAAGGTATGAACTACGAACAAGCTTTTCATTTCATTTCCCTCTTTTTAATATGTTTCGGATGTTGTCGTGGACTGATCTTTTAATTATCAATAATGTTATGTTTTTCTTTGTCTCGACTTTTATTATATAAGCTTAACTAGAACGCTCATATCAAAGAATCCGACGTATTAGTGTTGGTATAATCGTATCCGGTATATATCATTTTTTTAAGTCATATTATCTTTTTCTAATAGTGTTTTTTTCACTTTCAAAACATGCTTTTGTAAAGGAACCTAAGAGGATATGTTTCAACAAACCAATCATTTTGTTATCCCCTACTGTTTCACACTACTTGACATGTACCTTAAAAGGTGCACAAGCAAGACATATATAGAGGACAAATTATAGAGAACTTTCATTTATGATGAATATGAGCACATTTCATATGGTGGAGCATGAAATTAAGCATAAAGAATTGAGTGACATGCCGACAAGATACGGTTTCAGTGACAATACTTGGCTTAGGTTGTGTAAACCCTTCGATGATTTGGAATCCACTTGGGTATTTGAACACACGTTCAAAGATGAATCAAGTCGTGTGGGGTGCGATCGTATCTCTAGAAATTTTAAATTTTTTTTCTTCATATTTTAGGGTTTTTTTTTTTATTTTTTATTTGTTATTTAATTTCGCACTACCTAAAATTTTTTAATTTCGCAGTCCTTGAACTAAATTACTGTGTCTGTCCTGCAAACATTTAAGCATTGTTTTTACTTTACAACACAACCATTCATGGATATGAGCACACATGCATATAGGTGTGTTACAGTAGGGGTGTGCAAATATTCTTGACCCGGTTGACCTGATCCGCCAACCCGAACTTAAAAAATTAGATAATTTTCTAAAAAAATTACCCGACCGGGTCGGGTACCTGGCTCAACATTTCTTGGGTCGGTACCGAGTCACAAAATTAAGTTTTTTCAGGTACCCGGTTAGTTTTTTTATTATATATATATATATATAATATAATGAATTATTTATATTATGGATTATTATATTTTGTATTTTAAACTTTTAAATTTTATGTTCGGATGTTGGAGTATATAATTCGAAGTTTCGAACATTTAAATTTGTGTATATTTTTTAAAATTAATAATTTGAAAATGAAAAAAAAAACCGAGTATTGGGTACCCGTAAAATCCGGGTCGGGACACGGGCCAAGAAATCACCGACCCAGATGTTGCAAGTACCTGGTAATCGGGTACCCGAAAATCCGGTAAGATATTAAAGGTTCGAATCCTGACAAATACGAATGAAGTAAACTAAGTCGGGAGAGTCTCCCTTACCTCTATAATACCCGATCCAGACTAACCAGTGGTTATACTAAAAAAAATCAATTGACTAACAATTATAGGATTACATTGTCCATGTATTGAACATGAAATTTAATTAAATTGAAGATAAGTATTTTATTAAAAATTATTACCTTTGAAATAAACCTATTTTCAATTAGCAATAGATTAACTTTTTTTCGGACAATACTAAACTAGGTTAGAGCGTTAAGAACAATAAAAAGAAATCTAAACTGACACAAAGCCAGAGATGTCATCATTATTACTGGAAAACGCATACATCATAACATAATAATTTCATTTTTGGCGACAAAAGCTATCACTTGACAATTGATGGGAAATTAAAAGCTCTAATACTAATACTTTCCAAAATATTTGTTTTTAACTTATAGGATAGAGGTAGATTAAAGTCGTAAGCAGTTTAATATCGTTTAAGTAAGGTTTCGAGTTCGAATCCTTGTGTATACAAAAAAAACCATGTTCAGACATTCACCCACCAAATTAGGTGTGCGTGGTGTGAGTCAGTCCATATTAATTAAGGCGAAGCCTAGAAACCGGGAGGGTAACCAAAATAAATATATTTGGTTTTACTAATGAGGTAAAATTTTATGTTGTGTGTGAATTTTTAGAAAATTACATTATAGATTTAAAGAATTAAAATTATAGAATTCGAATATATACCAAAATAAATCATCAATAAAAATATAAAAAAAATTAAATAGTTTGCAGCCAAGCATTATGCCCACCGCCCACCATCTTCAATAGTTTGCAAGCTTGATGCTTCCATGTCTAATGGAATTCGGTGAATATTCAATAAGATGACCACATTGAAACTTAGGGATCACACCCTTTTCTGTCGATGGGCCATTTTGGATCGTAAATCCTATCATAAGGATAGGATAAGAGTTGTTTCCCAAACAAATACAAGATATAGAAAAGCAATAGAGCACCCATGATAGTTGGTCATTCTTGCACTTAATTGACCATATGATGAAACTAGAACTCACCTCATCATTGATATGCTACAACAAAGGTTACCCATTCACAGGGATAGGCTCTCCTAAAGGAAGTAAAGGTAAAACATGTAGAAGACAAATGAACCTACAAAAGGAACAAATAGAATAAATATTTTTTTAATATATTTTAGCTTTCTAAATAAATTCAAATGAGTATTGACTCTCAAGCCATTGGTAAGAAAACAAAGAGATGTTATTGTATCGCGATAAACCATCACAATAATCAATCTATGTTTGTCACATGACATCTCGAGATAAGAACCTTTTTTATTTCTCGATCACAACCTAATCGCCTCGAACTACTTAGGATTCTCCGTCTCACCACACACCCATCCTAATCCATGTAAGAACATATCTAATAAGATTAGGGAGTGCAATATTGCATCCCAACAGTAGCATGGGTGTCAAGACATACCACAAATCTCATAAGATTTGAGTGCTGGATCTACCCATGTGAACTGCATAAGTGTCTGACTGAAACTACAAAAAGGGAGAACAGAATGAGTACTTTGACCCCAAAATCTTGTGATCCTTTCTTTAATTGCATTTCCCCCCATCTCTCATTTTGAGCATACGCAGTTAAACCCTTTCCATTTGGACCACTCCCATTAACTTCTCTCTGTTCAGACAGTAAAAGAAGTCTTCTTTCCCCCCAAATGCAGCCGAACCCTAGTTCACAGAGATGAAGAGAAAACCCTAAAGCCGCCAAACCCTAAAACCGCTGTTTCCGGTTCCCTCAGCTTAGAACACAGATCGGGCAAAAAGGAAGGACCCAAAATTAACCTAAACCATTCTGGGTGTTGTGTGTGTGAGAGAGGGGGGATCCAAGTTATCAGCAGCAAACCCTAGATAGACCCCAAAACCTAGAACATGGAAATTGAAGATCTGAATCGTCAGGGGCCACTTCTTGTGAAACCCTAAAAGGAGGTGTAACAAGCTTTGAGGTTCCATCATCGATGGAAGAAGAAAAGATGCGCTATAACTCCGTATGGTAGACGCTAGGGATTATTATGAGTGGTTGGAGCAATTGTAGTGGTGAACAATTACAAAGGGGTTAGTGACTCCTAAGACCAATCAAAGGACACTAGCTCTTGTTTTATTTAATAACTTAATTTATTACAAGGTGGTAATTGTACAGAATTTTTTCAATCTATTGTCAACTCAAATACTTTACAACAGGATTTATAGGAAATACAACATTTTTTTATCACTGAGGTCATTTGATAGGTTCAAAGGACACTAGATCTTGTTTATGTGGTTTTTTCTTAAGGTCTTGAGTTCGAGTAACTATGAAGTGTATATACGTTGTCAATAGACTAAAAAAATATTTGAACAAATATCACCAGGGACGAAGCCAGAATTCTAGTTCAAAGGGGCAAAGTATAATTAACAATAAAAATGAGAGGGAAAAAATCAAAATAAACCAAAACTTGAAGTTCAATGGGGAAAAATTTAATTAACAATAAAAAAATGGAAGGGCAAAATCAAAATAAATCAAAACTTGAAGGACCAAATAGGTAGTTATCCCTATATATTTTTAATGATAAAAAAATATGGGGGCTATGGCCCCGAGCTATTTTTTTATTTTTTATTTTGGCTCAGTAAAAAGGATAAATTTATTAGAGGAACGGCGAGCAGAAGCCAAAGGAAAGTGCCTCCTTAAAAATCTCCCTAAGTTTAATGGAGGAAAAGAGTACACTCTCCCGACAAAAGGAAATAGAAAGAGACGCTTAAAGACACAAAACCAACACAGACAGAAAAGATTAAGAGTACACTCTCCCAACAAAAGGAAATAAAAATAGACGATTAAGGACGCAAAACCAACATAGTCAAAAAGGATTAAGAGCCCCCGAGCTAATGAATACCTTCGTACTCCAACTATTGAAAGTTACAAAATGATCCCTCGGCTATTCATTATGTTCTAAACTAGTCCTTTTTCTTTAAAAAAAATTAATGATCATATGAGTTGGACTTGGACATTAATATGATGAATGAGATATGATAATTGTTTGAGATCATGAGGTCAGATTTTTATCATATCTCAATCAGTATGTTAACGTACAACTCAGACAATTGTAAAATTTTTAACGAAAAAAGGACGAGTTTAGAACATAATGAACAGTTAGGTGATCATTTTATAACTTTTAATAGTCAAGTGACTCAACAAAACAAATTATTATAGTCAGAGGACTATTTTGTAACTTTTAATAGTCAGAGGACTATTTTGTAACTTTTAATAGTCAGGG